CACTACGCACGACTTAAATGTTACGTTTATAACCGTAGCAACAGACCTCAGATGAGCCCAGATGCTTTGCGGCTCTTGTTTGCTGTGCTTTGGTTAAATACATATATGAAAGCAGTAACCTGATTTCCGTAAGTAATAATATGCAGACAGACATTGTTAAACAGACCTAATAATACACTGTACACCAGTGGTCAGGTGACTTAGACAGTTGATATCAAATTTTGTTGGTAAATGAAGATAAAAGATAAAAGAGGATAAAACAGTGAATGCTATATAAAGATTGCCCTAAGTTAAAATATGACATACATGGTATATTTGACATCTTTAGATGAGGTTTGTTGGGAACCTATATATACTACATAACCATGTATACAATTATTATGTTTTCTTTTTGGTAGGTTTCTTGCCTGGAATCAAGACTGCAAGAAAAGGTAGACATTCTCCTGTTCAATCCTCCATATGTTGTCACCCCTTCTGATGAGGTTAGTTGTTTTTTGACACAGGGTTCCAGTAAGCATGCTGTGCTTGCATAATAATACATAAATACTCGGAACCATTACTTTTTACTTATCATACAAATCAAGCATGTTTCCAAGTGCACATGAAGTGGCTGCGAATGTAGCTAATGGTCACTAGAATTTTGCCCACATGATATTTACATGTAGAAAGATACATACGCAACGTGTGTGCGTGTGCGCATGTGCCTGCGCGTGCGCGTGTGCGTATGTATGTATATATATATATATATATATAGAGAGAGAGAGAGAAATAGATAGATAGATAGATGGATGGATTGATAGATAGATGGACAAATAGACAGACAGACAGACAGACAGACAGGTGGATTTACTATGAAATCCTCGTGTTCTGGTGTTATTGGATATAGATAACCTGCAGTTATTGTTTTAGGTTGGTGGTAGAGGCATAGAGGCATCGTGGGCTGGAGGCACCAATGGCAGAGAGGTGACTGACAGATTGCTGCCTCTCATTGGCAAGCTACTGTCCAGAACAGGGCTTTTTTATCTGGTCATTATCAAGGAGAATATACAAGGTATGCATAATGCTAGTTTCAGCAGAACTATGAAGAAAACTTTTCTGATGAAAATGAATCAGTCAGGTCATTTTGGCGCTTTATTTCTGGCGGAGGCAGTTTTCGCAAAAGCCTTTTATTAAAATGACTGCGTGGGTCTTCTGTAAGCTAACAGTTGTAATTAAAAAGTAAGTTTAAAAGTTTAAAGAATGTCAATTAAAAATGTCATAGAGATAACTTGATTGATTTCTACTTGACCGTGAGGTTCAAACGTACCTGCTAGTATTTCGCGCCCTAACAGGAGACTTTTTCAAAGCTGACTGATGTTGTCAGATTTGACCACCAGATGGTGTAGTGGTCAACAGCTTAGTCCACACATGACCGAGTCTGTACCCCCCTTCGTCTTGGTTGATGTTTGGGGGTCATGTGATACCATGTGGTGGTCAAATCTGACATCAGTCAGCTTTGAAAAAGCCTCCCGTTAGGACGCGAAACGGTAGCAGGTACGTTTGAGCTTCACGGTTGAGTAGAAATCAACCAACTTACCTCTATTATCAACCAACCATGAACTTATTTCAGGATTTAAAATGTCATATTTGTGGGTTCCACTCTCTGCGAACTGGTTATCTTAATTTGAGTTGTCTAGCTTTTATTGAAATGCGTATTGCAGACGAGATTGAGGAGGAGATGAGGAGGCAGGGACTTCACATGGCGGTGGTGCTGTCACGACGCAGTGGACCGGAGCAGCTGCGTGTGCTGCGCTTCTCTCGTGCTAGCGACCCTGTACCAGTGCACTGACACATTTGTCTGCGGGGAATACTATACTGGAGATATCTCACTCACCAGCGTTAGTGGACACGAGTTTATTACGTGCAGGAGATGAGCAAAGCGCGCGAGTGAATGTTGCTCATAGAAGGGAAAGCGCGCGAGTGAATGCTACTTATACCAGGGAAAGCATGTAAGAGAATGTTCTGCTTACAGAAAGGAAAGTACACGAGTGAATACTGCTCACAGAAGGAAAAGAGCATGAGTGAATAATGCTTACAGAAGGGAAAACGCATGAGTGAATACTGCTTACAAAAGATATGGAATACAGAGGATAAAGAGTGCATTCATGAAAGAGAAAGAATGCTGCTTACAGAGAATGGGGTGGCAGAAATAAACTTGCTGCTTACAAAAGATCGAAAACAGGTCAATGTCTTGTCAGCAGGATAGGAGGAATGTGTTTTTTACTAATGGATAATTAGCATGTCAACATTGTTTTCTTTCCAAGTGTTCATATTGCACTCACCCAATTTTAAATACTGTGATAGGGCGGATTTGTGCAATATAGCAATCTGCTAAGTTACTTTGTAATCAAGGTCTGGCAAGGTGTTTCAATAAAAATGTGACCTATAAATTTGATCATCATTTATACATACTTAATAATATTTATTTTTAAGACTATCACTACTCATTGATGCAGGCACCTGATGTTGCTACTACCAGTACTATTTCTGCCACAGCTATTGCTGCTCTTACTGTAACTGCCACTGCTATAACTACTACCATAATGGCAACAAGTATAAAAAGTTAGAGTACCTTTGCATAAAACGAAGACTGTAATTGAAAATTCACAAATTTTATGCTTAGGATGCCTTTATACAGTAAGTTGCCTATATACAAATAATAACACCGTTCTGTCTTTGAAATAGAGCTATGAATTTTGAGAAAAAAAGAAATCAAAGTTTACTTATTTTAATGGTCAGTCAGTGTCAGTGAAAAGATTTTATTCGCATATCAATTGAAAATACATTTCATGTTAATTTCAACAGTCATGTGAAAATGTTTTGAACTGGATCTATCAGTAAAGTTTAAAAATCATTTGAATCCTATGTACTCCTCTGACCTTGAATATCAAGTACCATGATCACATTTTGGATACAATTCCCTATCTTATATCCCGAGTATCAACACCACAAGCCTCCCGTCCATGATACATCGCAATGTAAGTTGAGAAGAAGTGGAGCAACATGAAATTGCAAAGACTGCATACATTCTATCTTGCTCTATTCTCACTTTTACAACGTAAAATTGTTTTATCACGACTGTAACAAAAATGTGCAACATTAATGAATTCATCACAATGTAACCATCACCATGTGCAGCTTATAACTGAAACCACATGAGAATGTATAACAAACTATAAATTTGAACGGTGAAATTCTGTATAAGTTTGCAAACACTGGGCACTTGTCCTGGTCGTAAACTGTTGTGATGTTTCTGTACTCTATATTGCTTGACAAATCTACTTGAGTTTTCCTAATGCTCCTGTAAAACATGCTGCATAGATGTTGATTCATTTCACATTTGAATATATTGAATGCCCTTTAAAATGGCTCAAGAACCCATGGTTCAATGAGTTTAAACATGCAATAGTTGACCAACTCCCTATAAATTATGCATGTAAATGGTTTTGCAATAATAAATAAATAAGTGAATAATTTAACAGGCGAGTGCTATGATACAATCATTATCAAAATACTAAAACCCATGTTGACACTGAATGTATTCTGATAGTAATACACTGATAACTACAGGTCGCTGATAGAGTCTTGCAGCATTACAATTTGCAATGCCATTGTGTGTTTGAGCAACGCACATCTTACTGCCCCACTTAATATTTATACAGAACCTAATGCTGCAATATGCTAAACGTCCTATACAGTTCTTCCACAGTCACCCTTCCTCTGTGGGTCACAAACTCGTCAATCGTCAGGCCCAGTTATCGCGTCGCCGCCTGCTGAACTTACCACTACGTTATCTACATTGTTGCAATTGCTATCGTGCATCCTCGGACTAACATCGACATTACACGCTGTCGCCTGCCATCGCACAAGCGGCGCCACCTGTAGGATCGGTAGGCAGATCAGCGGGCTGTGCACAACTGCGCTGTCTGAAGTAGAGTCGGCTGAGGCGAGGGTAGTCAATGCAGTCACGTCAGTCGTACTATGAATCAGTTTTCGCTGAAGCTTTCCCTGCAGTTATTCAGTTTTATTTTCACTACATCAGTTCTAAGTATATTTGTAAAATTTCTACGATGCTATATAATGACTTATTATCTCATTGTTAATGATATGTGAATCTATTACTGTTTTAGTATTCATGATATCAACAGCTGATGATTAGTACACGCTTACAAATCTGTGATAATAGTTTCCAATGACTTTGTGCAACAACAAAATTAATTATTTGATTAGATACATTAACGGATATAGGGGAAATGCCATTTTAAATGTCACCTTAAATGTCGCTTTAAATGTCAATTTACAATCACCTTTTCGTAGCGTTGTCTTTTCCAAAGTCTGTCTCTCAGTTGCTCCTTTATTCGTTGCGCACAGTTCTTTTCGCGTGACTCTCTCCTTCGTTCTCGGTCTTTTATTCGTTCAGTTTCTCTGAATAGTGAATCTGCATTCCTTTTCCAAGCCATACGTGCCCTCTCTCTCTCCTTTTCGCGGGCCCTGCAAACACAGGATAGTATCACCCTTGAATCGAAATGCTGCTCTATTCATTTGCTGCTGCCAAAAATAGCAGACTGATCGATTACTAACTAAAATTCCAGGATAGCCACTGGTTTGCATTGTGAAGCCTACCTTAACTATAGCCAGGTATACTTATAAAAAGAGAGACTCAGAGCACTTGTAATAGTGTTTATTATAATATTTTCCTAGTGGAAACACTGTAATAATTGATTGTGGAACAGTCGAGGATTTATAGTTTGCCAATTCATTGGAATGAATGAAGTTGTGGGTGTTCTTACTTATACGCTGGGTTGGATCGTTGCTGGGCTTTTCGCTTTCGGTCCCGCTCCCTCTTGGTAAGCAACTCACTACTCTCAGTGTCAGGACAGTTGCTCGTCTTTGAGAGAATCGGTGACACCCGATTCAACAAGTCAGAGGAACTAAATGCCGAATTAAAATACGAATATTAAAATACGAATATGCCGATGCGTAAATTTTATGGAACAAGATTGAATAAATGTTCGGCGAAGAATGTGCAGTAAACAGCTTAATTGTTCAACCAGGAATGACAGCAAATTTCACTCGTATGGCCAAATAGATCAATAGATAAGCTGCGTTCACACGATATACACGGCCTCGCTGGTTCCGTACTTATCTGGTGCTGAATTCGGCTGAAATACCGTGCTAAGACAACCTGGAGTGTTCACACGAGAATCGAGGCTTAGCTGGCTAGGTATAATATAGACTGGTACCCGGTCGACAGTTCCACACGCTACACTAACGTCGTGTTGCGAACGGGTACCAGTCTAGGTAAGCGCGCTACAGTTTTGCAATTCGAATTGAGTTCACACGACAGACAATACGCGGCCAGCGTGGTGCCGAATATACGCGGATTACTCGGCGCGGAATGTGATTCCCCGCCGAGTAAGCTGCGTATTTCAGTACGGTACTGAATAAGCCGCGTATATTTTTAGCGTGTGAACGCTCAAGTACGGTACTGAAATCCTCGTGTGAACGCAGCTATAGATAGTTGCTAGATTTATTGTATAACAATTAGTTGTAATATTACAAATTTACAACATTACTACAAACCAGGCAATATAAAATTGAAGCTGATGAATGCTAATAAGTAGATAACATGTTAGATATTTGTTGCATGTAAAAAATATTGTCCCCAGTGTATACTTGAGATTTTCATGCAAGTAAATTTCACTTTTTTGAAATTACGACTGACACTATAATAGATCTATCTGCCTGGCTTGATTGACAGGAAATTCTAGCCAATCACTGTTGCAATTGGACATTTTAAAAGACAATGGTCGGCATCAAAGTGCCACGAAGTCTGACTCGATTTTATCACCTATACACAATGGCTATAGACCACCTACAATACTGCAGCAATTTGCCTCTGCACCTGCGATTGGGCAGGTAACTCTAGCCAATCACCATTGCAATTAGAGGCATTCTAAGAATGCTGCTTTTTAGCAAAGTGCCACAAAATTGATAATTTCGCAAACTCGTAAAAAAGAGGTAAAAACTGGTTTAGCTTATCCAACTATGAAACAATATCCCCAGGGGGGCGAAGTTATCTCACTTCGGCAGATAGGTCAGTAACAAGTTATGTCTTCTGTAGAGTTAGTACCTGACAAGAGTTGATTGGGCATTGTCTTTGGTAATGTTTGATAAGACATGGCCTTCATGGTCTTGTTCATTTAGTGTTCCTGAAATAATAGTCTCCGCCATTTCTGATGGCTCCTTGGAAAATATGCTTGGGCTCATCTGCTCTGAAGATTCCCCATCTGCCAAAATATAAAGTTTGGTTTTCCATTGGCTTCATCTGATGGTGATTATAAACTACTCATCTTCAGGTTTACAGTAGCATAATTATACAAAAGGGTCATTATAATAACTGTTAATTATAAATTAATGATATACATGCATGTTTTCTTTTAAAACCAGTTACTATAAGTATAGGACTTCAAAAAGTATGTGACCACTTTAGAAAATGTATTAGGACACGTACACATACTACTTCTATGCATAAATTAGCCACAATTAAAGGAACAGTAGCCTCTAGGTTCTAGGGTTATTTTCAGCTAATTTAGGTTATAATTGCGCTACATAAAAAGTTTCATGGTTCAATCGCTATTAGAAATATTTTTAAAAAATGTTTTAAAACTAACGACTACAGTTTGATTACAACGACGGTGGCGCCACTCAGAGCGCACGATCTGAGAAGTTGCGCAAAACCATTTTCCACCCAAGGGCTACAGACCGAGGGTATTTCTTATTTATTCATTTAAAAGCAAAAGGATTGTAATATCTTATAAACGACATATAGTTTCAGTTATAATATGGATAAATTTGCCCTAAAATGAATATCGTTCGGTTAAATAGCATTTAGGTATAAATATAATTGCACTTTTGTGATTAGCCCTCGTTCATTTACCTGCAAAATATAAATCCAAATACGCAACTTTTTCAGGGTGGCAGCACGGTCGCGGGTGTCATGGCGCCGTTCAAATTTCGTAGCGTTGATGTGTAAATAATTAATTAAGTATCTGGTGACAAATACATGTGGGTATAGACGATTTGTTATACAGTAAGTACAGTTGTATGCAGTAAAATCCTAGAGGCTACTGTCCCTTTAAGTGCCTGTGTACACGATCGTTTTTTATGAAATATTACTTTTGCTCGTCTACACAGCATCATCCAATCTGTAGACTTGCAAGAGTCAAAATTCGTAAAAACCAGTACACAGGAGCTTGTACTACATGTACATATGTGTATACCATGTATATTGGATAATGTCTTTTGTGATACTGACGTTACTAGTTTTACAAATAGCTTTCAGAAGATACAGAATGATGGCTATACCTTCATTAATATATGGAGTGTCATGCACAGCTTCACACGCTACCCAAGCACTGAGGTCTGTCTGTGCCACTTCTGTCACACTATCCGAGAACATTTCAGTCGATGCTACAGTAGTCAGGTTATTTTTCAACCGAGAAGTACTGCACGTGGTACCAACTACGACAGTTTGTAGATCTAAACAATGTTCAATTCTACTGACTAAAGCCTGCCTGGCGCCGATAGTTGGCTGGTTAGACTTAGTGTCCGAGTCATTGTTAATTCTACTTGGCTGAATTCTCCTCAGTGACACTTGCTTGCATGATGTGGTCTCGGGTTTTCGGTTAATCTTTCGCTCCATAACCTTACCAACATGGAATGGCTCACTATTATAGCATGTAATTACCCTGTCTGTGGCTCTCCCAAGGCTCGGATTAGTACCAGTAGTAGTAGTAGTACCAGATGTACTACAAGGGCCTGAGCCAATACTAGTACTACTACTACTAGCGGTATTGCCAGTAATATATGATAATGAACCAGGCCTGCCGTCGACGTTGTTGCCGCGCGACACCTGGCTAATAAGGGTGCAGTGGGTATTCATTTTGCTGCGTTAACTAGTACAGCTGCGCATTATAAAGCTGCACGGAGAAGTGGCGTATAAGTTTACGTCTCGGGTTTAAGTTAGGAGACATAACTGCTCCTACAACATTGTAAACAACTTGGATGCATGTACACACAAGTGTACATGGGCGCCGCCATACTAGATTCCTAACGCGGCCAGTGCGCTACCTGGTGGTGGTGATACAACACCACAGGATAGCTAGCTAGCGCCGTAGTTAGCGGGTGGGTGCAGCCTGTGGTGCAGCCCCATAGATATGACTAGAAGAATATATATATATATATATATATATATATATATATATATATAAATGTCCACATATTTGCACGCACGCACACATGCAGATAAAAGTGGCACGCCCGCGCGCACGCACGCCGACACACGCACGGACGCACACGCACTAGCTCTCACATACGAGCGCACACACACACACACACGCACGCACGCACGAATGCACGCACGCATGTACACACACACACCACACACGCACGCTCTCTCACACACACACGCCCGGACGCACACAAATACACACACACACACACACGCGCGCGCGCGCACGCACGCACGCACACACACACACATATATGTTCATGTATGATGTATACACCGTATATGCAATTCATGCGGTCTTGGCGATACTATAGTACGCCTACATATTCATCCTGGGTAGTCACTTGCGGTTTGAGAGTATATTTCGTTCGTTTTGAGGGGGATTTACAATAGCCAGTGCTATTAGTGTTATTAGGGGGATCGTTGGGATCGTTTATTTTGAAAGGGGATCGTTGCTATGGCATATATCAGTGTATATCAGAATAAAACTATCATACCGAACGAAACAACGAGATAGATAGATGGATGGATGAATGGATGGATGGATGGATGGATGGATGGATGGATGGATGGATGGATGGATGGATGCGATGGATGGATGGCTATGGGATGGATGATGGATGGATGGATGGATGGATGGATGGATGGAATGGATGGATGGATGGATGGTATGGATAGGATGGATGGATGGATGGATGGATGGATGGATGGATGGTGGGGATGGATGGTATGGATGATGGATTGGCTGGTATGGATGGATGGATGGTATGCGGATGGATGGATGGAGGATGGAATGGATGGGATGGATGGATGGATGGATGGATGATGGTATGATGGATTGGATGGGCATGGTATGGGATGGATGGATGATGATGATGGATGGATGGAATGGATGGATGGCATGGTATGGATTGGTAATGGTATGGATGGATGGATGGAATGGATGCGCATGGATGGATGGATGGATGGAATGATGGATGGATGGATGGATGGATGGATGGATGATGGATGATGGATGATGCGATGGGATGGATGGATGGATGGATGGATGGATGGATTGGATGGATGGCATGGATTGGATGGAGGATATGGGATCGGTGGATGGAATGGATGGCATGAAATCGGTGGATGTGATGGAGATGCGATGGATGATGGAATGGCATGGTGGGTATGGATGGATGGACTGGATCGGTGGATGGATGGGATGGCATGAATCGGTGGATGGAATGGATGGCATGGATGGATGGAATTGGCTCATGGATTGGATGGATGGAATGGATGGAATGGATGGTATGGATGGGATGATGGTATGGCCATGTGGATGGATTGGATTTGGGATGGCGATGGATGGATGGATGGGTGGATGGATGGATGGATTCGGATGGATGGATGGATGCGATGGATGGATGGATTGGATGGCATGGATGGATGGTATGAATTTGGATGGATGGAGGATGGATGGAATGGCATGCGATGGATGGATGGAGGATGGATGGATGGATGGATGCCGATGGATGGATGGATGAGATGGCATGATCGGATGGATGGATGGAATGGATGATGGCAGTGGTATGGATGGATGGGATGGATGGCATGGAGATGGCATGGATTGGAATGGCATGGATGGATGGATGGATGGATGATGGATGGATGATGGATGGGATGGATGTATGGCATGGATGGAATGGATGGATGGATGGAGATGGATGGGATGGATGAGATGGATGGACGATGGACGGATGGACGATGGACGGATAGACGGACGGACGGACGGACGGACGACGGCGGACGCGACGGACGGACGCGAGGAAACGACGGACGGCACGGTACGGACAGGACGGACGGACGGACGGACGGCGACGGACGCGACGGATGATAATTGAATGGCATGGATGGATTGATGGATGGATGGTTCATGGCATGGATAGATGGTTTGAATGAAAATGGATGGATGGATGGTATGCGATGGATGCTTCATGGATGGATAGATGATGGATGAATGGTCTATGGCATGGATGGATGGAATGCCCGTTCCATGGATGGATAGATGGATGAATTCATTCTCTCGCGCTATCACGTCGGTCGCCGTTGATTGCCAAAAGATTATATATTTCTTCGCGTCGTTCTTATAGATAGTATAGAGAGTTCGCGATTTCTTCATATTACCCACAACTGTAACGCCGCCGGCCATTACGGTTCCAGAAAACCAGCTTCAGGCTTGCTACAAGTACATTGAGCAAACGCCACCTCTGCTTAATTTTATTCGCCTATTAAGCAAAATCCGATCACAACGCGCTCTCCTGCGGTGTTGTCAACTGCAGCAATCGGTATCAGAGAGAGCCACACAGCTTTTTTAGG